AATTATATATTCATTTAATAATAACGAAAATAATTAATTTTTGTTGTTTTATTTTATTTTATCTCACATACAAATTTTTTGAAAATATATATTAGGAAATATGTGCAATGATTTAACTTTTTGAACTCCTAATCTATATTATTCAACCCTCATTAAACCATCCACGTATGCACCCGCGTGGAATTCACTTTTTTTTTTTTTTTTGGCTGTTCGTTTTTGGATTTATTTTTTATTATTTTTGGGTTGAGCTATATTATAATAGGATAGTTTTAACCGCGTAGGCAACCACGTGAGACTTGTTTTTTTTGTTTTTTTGTTTTATTATTCGTTTTGGATTCATTTTTAACTATTTTGGGTTTGAACTTATTAAAGTTTAGGGTTTGTACAACTATTTTGATCTTTAAAACAATAAGCCCAGAAAAAACATAAGAACCTTATAAACAAAAAGCTCATATGATAATAACCTAAATAAAAAAAATCAAAAATACATGATAGCTGCGTGGTTTGAACCCACAATCTTGCATACTTAATTAGACACCTTATACGACTTGGCTAAAGTGTATTTCATTGTTTGTAACCATCTTACCAAGACTATGTGTGTTTAAAAAATATTTTTATGATGATGACATTAATTGGTTTATGCATGAGAGCAGTGGGAATTGAACCCATGTCCTTGGAGACCAAACATGGGGTGTTAGACCACTTGACTAAACTGATATTCTTTGTTTGTAGCCATTTTAAAACAACTATCTATTTTAATATAAAAATGTGGGACCCACAATCTGCCTATGTGGACACCTTAAGGAGCCTTTAAACTGAATCATTATAATATAGATTTATAATATTATTTGAGAAGTCAGTTTCCTACGTGTCGCGCTCACGTTAATTCTTGCGATGGTTGATTACATAGATACCCTTAATGAATAGTTAGATTTTAAAATTATTATTATTATTATTTTTACCTTTTTTCCAAATAACAGATATAATAAAAAAGAAATATTTCTAAAATTTAAAAACAAATTTTAAAAACGAAAATATATGTATATAATATGACTTTATTAAAAAGGAAAGTTCACAAAATAGTAATACCTCCATTAATATATATTTTTAAATAACATAAAATATATTTTAAAAATAATAAAAATATATATGTTCATGAAAATTCAAAAAAATATAAGTTACATTTTATTTTCTAATATTATTTAGAAATCAACATATAATTGATAAATATTATGAAAGTACATGTATATTTAAGCGATAAATTAAACTAATTTGATTTCACTTAACTAAAATAAAGAGTAAATAAATATTATAAAAATACATGTATATTTAAGATAAATAAAACTAATTTGATTTGACTTAACTAAA